ATTCAGACATTTGCAATAAGCCAAGAACACACAATTAACACTTTCATAAGCTCAAACCTACAGCATTTGTAGGAGAAGGCCAACAGTGCAAGGCAGCACCAGCATGAACCGCGTCAACAGAACCCGATGGGAAAGGGAGACGAGAAACGTCTGCTCTCACAACCGCTATATTAGTCGAACTATCGAAAGTGTTATCCTTTTTGATGAAATCATTACACTGACGAAGCATGTTTTCAGAAAAATCGAGAGCAATCACACCCGAGTATTTCCCAGACTTTGCAAATTTCCTTGAAAACAAACCGCTTCCGCAACTAACATCCACAAGAATTCCACCTTCTGCTTCTTTAAAGTATTCCTCAGCCATTCTAAACTGCATTTTCCAAAGCATTAGACCATAAGGAAACAACAATGGAAGACCGAAAAAGGCCTAAGTAAGTACCTCTTCCTCTGCACCAGGAAAACCGCTACGCTTAAAGTTATCTCGCCAACCTCTTTCATACAAAAATGATACTAATGGACTCCTACACAAACAAGACTTTAAGCTAAGATGGTTGAAAGTAAACAATCCTATGATAAAATGAGTGTATGTTGTTAGAGTAGTAAATGATACCGAAAGAGTTCGGTTGTAATGGGTTTAACTTCATTGAAATTATCTAAATCAGCAGTAACAGTTAGATCCAAGTATTCATCTTTGCTTGAGTATGTCTTGTTACACTGTCCACACTTAAATCCAGACCTATAGATTGATTGTCTGCATCACAAAAATAGGCTTTAGAGAAATCAAAAGAAACGATTTTTTCAATCATTGACACTATTGGATTTATATAATCAGAGAAAGGTAAGAACTTACAGGTTAATACCTGAAGGTCCTTTCCTCATAAGTGGTTCGTAGCAAACAGGACATGCGAAAACTTGTGTTTCCTCAATTTCAAAACTTGGAGTTTCACTTGTGTCCTGGAAAAATACACCATTGAAGAAGGATAATTGAAGCTCTCATGTATGCCAATTTTATTACAAGAATTGAAAACCCAAATCAAAGAACAGAGCTTACCGATTCGAGAGCAACGGCTCGTATGGAAGCAGAAGCAGAGAATCGGAGAAGACGAGAGTGTGAAAT